TTCTTCGAAGAACAAGCCGTCGAAGGGTGGAGGGGAGCCGGGGGGGGGGGGAGTGGGCACACGTTTCCGAACTACTAGCAGAAGTAGTGTAGTTGATGCGCGGCCAATCTGACTAGCCTATAGAGTACGTCAGACCGGATAAAGCGCGAGAAATAAACGATTTCCTTCGGAAAAACTTCTGTTGAGGCTGAATGCGTCCCCCCCCCCTTAGCGATCAAACACCCCTCAATGGGAATTGCACAGTGATGATGTGCACTTACAGGGATTCTTTTAAGTCCCCCTCCTATAGCGGACCTGCGCCTGAAAATAGCGACATGGTATGTTTGCAGGAACAAGGATTAGCAACACTACTGACCTCCCAAACAGCTGATTTGACCAGCAATGTGACCAGCCTTCACATGAATGGCAACGTCCCCGTAAAAGGTAATGCGTCACTATTACGCGTTTTGCGCTTATTTCCAATCAATCAATCAATCATCGTCGCCCATATGTTTTCTGTGGATCACATCGGGTCGTTGGCTAACACCTGCTCCTTCCGCTTGGTCCCTGCTTCCAGACCTTTGCATCGTCCATGTCACCTGCACACTGATGATCAGGTGTCGGAAGTAAAACAAACGAAGCGATGAAGGGAGCTCATTCGAGGTCAAGTAAATAACACGTAATTAGTCTGTCACCTGTTTGAGCTGACAACGGCTGTAACGACAAGAAAGCCACGGGATTAGCTATTGCTGGCCCCCTCAACCCGCCGATATAATGAGTTGCGAAAATCTCAGTTTGGTAGAGTATAGAATTTTCCAACCGTCTGATATCACAAGCTCAGAATCAGTCATAACGACTTATCAAAGCAAGTAGCAATATTATGTAATTGATCAAAGTAGATTGTAGATTCATGCGTGATTTAACCAAATCCTCGTAAGAGATGCAGTAGGTGTCTGGGGCGCAATTCGGCTACGGGGGAAGGCATTCTTGCTTTCCATCGATGTGTCGACCCATCTAGATAGCCTTTTCTTGAGTTGACACGTTTTACCATGGTGGCTAGACGAGCTTGCTCCAGCTTCACAAGAGTTCACAAGTTTCACCAGAGTGAGACTTGTAAACCGGAAGTAGTGAAGCAGTGAAAGTGCGAAATGCCCCTCCTCCCCCTAGCCGAACTGCGCCGGTGTCTGGTCTACATGAAGGCCAAATCGCAACTATAAACATCGAAGCACTCTAAATGGATCTAATAAGGCATTAACAGTCCACGTAGTATGAGTGTCATTATTACGCACCG